TGGTCAAGGGAAGCAATTCTAGGTCTGCGCATGTGCGGTTTGCTGGAATCTCTGAAAATATTCCTGTTACTGAATGATCCACAGAGTCCATTTTTTCAGGATCATACAAACTCATTAATGCTCTGTGTACATCTTGAAGCACGAAAAGGCGCTTTTGGTTGGTTACTAGCGCCTTCATCCTTTGTGGACCAAGTTTTTCCGTTACACCATCAGGAACAATCATAAAAAATACTGGATCGTACAGCTCTCTGCCTCCCTCCTTAGTGTTACGAAACGGAGTCCTTGTGTGACCGTGGTCAGATAATATCAAAGTTAGAGTATCAGGGAAGGAAGCCATATCTATGAAGAATTTTGCCATGTTGGCGTCCATGTTAATCATCCGTTTGCCATTAGTCTCGTGTCCGGTATTAAAATGCATGTAAGACAACAAAGGTTTGGCTTTTTCGTCGCTTCTCAGAGCAGTGTACACCTTTGTTATGTAGTCCATGAAATACCAACTATAAAACTTGCCATTTAAGCAGATTTTCTGGGGATAATCGTAATGATTGGTCCTGCGAAGCATTTTTTCTAACGCCGTGCATGAAAAATGTGTAATACCCTGATAGTCAACTTGCTTCTTAGCCACCTTGTCTTGAAATTGCTTCCACCTGTAATGAAATAATTATGTTGTTAAATGGTAAGGATAATTCAAATAACCACTGCAGTACTTAACCACTGTACTGTGTATTTTCGGACGCCGTCCATGACAAGAGTGTTTTGATTTTATTTTTAAAGAGGGAATGAAGGCACTCTTGGGGCAATGTTACTTTCCATGATTAGTGGTCAAATAGTTCATATGGCCATTGAACTGTGCTTCTTGACTGAATAGTGGCCCGACCCCCAAAGATTTGTGGTAATTTTACAAACTCAAAGGGACATCCACCCTGGTAACAATATTCAAACCTTAACTTGCCTGGTATCAGTCAACCTCTCGAAGTACATATTTTCTTTTATGCCAAATTTGAATATCTTAAAACTGCAATTAAGATTTAGTTACATTAGAAAAACCTTTGTGTTCTGCAGAAACAGACGAATAAAATACCCTTAAAACCTACACAACACTTTCATCGAACAAAGCATCATTTCAGCATGGACCCGGTAATTACCTCTCTCTGAACTCAGAACTCAACTGAGGCACTGCTCTTTTTTCAATGTCTGTTAAAACACTCCCCCACTCATCGTACCAACAAAGATCCTCTTGGAAGAACGTCTGGTAGCCCCATTTCTTGAAGGTCCCATACAACACCTCCACACCAAGGGAAGCTTTAGTGTTTTTTGTTGAGGCAGTAACTTTGTTGTCGTCTGAAAACGTTACAAAAGTGTTTTCATTAATCAAACATAAAGAAGTCACCAAGATGGGATAACTTACACCATTCGGTTTTTAATGGAGTTAATTCTACTCACCTTCAAGGACGCCACAGAAGAACGGCCTTATGTTTTCAAATGTCTGTTGTCCTGTGCTCTGAACAAGTTCAAAGTCTAAGGTGGTAGCCTGAATCTTAGGATCATGCGAAATATTCTGCAGAGCCTCTACAGCCCTTGGAAGAATTCGGTAAAAATGCGGCCTGGAGATAGAGTCTAACAGAATCACATTTAAATTGATTCTAGTTCTTTTTTTACCAAAGTCGACTTTCTTTAAAACCGGAGGAAAGCTGAGCACTTGGAAAATGCCTCCACATCTTAGGAAAAGAAAACTAAATCCTTTTTCCAAATTGGTTTTGACGGCTTTCTGAACTGCTAAATCAATTTGTTCTTTTGACAATAGTCTCCAGTCCGTCACGGCTTTTCCCATTTCTGGATCAACAGAAGCTATTTCAATCGCGGATAAGCCACAGATCTTAGGGTCACATGACAACGTCTGGTCCCCAGAATCTGTTTTTCCAAACGCACAGATGTCTGGGTAATGAGTGTCATCACATTTCCTATTCTCAATACGTCCCAACGGTCCATAGTGGTCAGTGATTTGCTTCCTACCATCTTGATCTGGTCTAAAAAAAGGGCATGTATATGATCAGAAGTATACAACCTATAACCTTCTGATATAATTCATACACTTTAACTGCATTACTTAGCATTGCTGTTCGTATCTGCCGATGAGGTTTGGTTTTGAATCAACATCGTAGACCATTTGAGCAGAGAAGATATATTTACAACCATCTTACGTATGATGCAAATTTGTTTTGAGCCCAGATCCTTGCAAGAACAACCAAGCGGCACGTGCACCGATCTTTATACAATAAAATTAAGTGGTTGGTGACTGAATACAAAGTCAAGTCTGCAGAGTATCAGTTATGCCTCTTCTTACCTGTGAGGCTTGCACTTGATTTCAGTTTGGTTACCTAAGTAAGGAAGTCAAGTGACACTTTAAAATCAGAACAAGACGTTTATTGGGGATGGCTTAAAGATCGCGTGGCGAAACAATATTTAATAAACAGAAGAACAACAGCTTGGCACGTACATTTCCTGAAATACCCTCATCCCGTCAGCAAATTACCCCATTTCGAAGGCAGCTACATGACTTTCCTATATTTCTATTAAGTTTATCGCATCATTTTAATTGTTTATATATTTATCTCATCTTTTTATAAAGCGTGCTGGGATCATGCCGCTATGCTCAAGGAGAAGTTATTTTTATCATTGTTGTTATGTTAAACTGATAGGAGAAGTCTAGTACCGCTTAAGGAGGTCACTGAGCACATGAAGCTTCTTGCGAATTTCGATTGAGAATTGGAATTCACTATCGAGCGCCTTTTTGACGAATAATTAAAACTGCAGCGCTCGTTTCTGAAGGATTGTAGAGTAAATCACGGCCGTTCTTACCTGATNTGATGTCAATTAGCAGGATTAAATTTTCCAATGACAACGAAATTGTAAGGGCCCGTAAGGAATCTTGATAAACTGGGGATCTGCAGACCGCAGAACCTCCCGGGCCAAATTGCACTTGACATATACGTTATTGACAGAGCGTGAGGTCCAGATGGCTAGATATTGGCCGAGTTCGTTTTCTGCAAATTTGCTGATCGATAAGAAGTGAAAAACGTGTGAATTTCTGCGTTTACGTGAGCCGCGTGGTCGAATCACCATGCTTGAATTGTAGTTTACTGGAAAGTGCGACGAGAAAATTGCGAGACTTTGGGTTGAAAATTTTGAAAATTGTATGATTCAAACTGAAGTCTTGTATTTAACATTTGAATATTCTTTCCAGCCTTTGGGACACTTGAAGATAACTTTGCCGTTGTTAAAAAAGCTCACTTGAACTCAGAAGATCACTTTTTTTTTCCGGCCTAATTCACATCGCGTTTGGAAATGTACTACTTTCCGTCAAGGAGGAGGGCCTGGGCTGTTGAGGTGGCTCATCCTTAATCAGTGAGTAGTCTACTGAATTTGAGCCCTAATCATTACCGACTGAACAAAAGAGTAAATGTATTTTTGCCTCGGGTGTAACGAAAACTCAGATCCCAGAAACACTAAGAAGATCTCATGGAGGGCGACCCTGTTGCTTGATTTTTTGAGATTTTGACGGTTGACGAAAATATTTTAAGACCTTAGTTGACGCTTGATGGAGGAATTTTTAATGCCTCTAGCAGTTGAAAGTTGTATGGAAATATTTCTCCTGTTAAGTTAAATCAATATTGATTTTTTTCATTTATATTACGAATACACTACGGAGTATTCATAGAACATGAAGTGCGTTCGTGGGGACGAAATTTGGGTTCTGCAATACTTAGACTGTTGAAAATGGCAAGAAGATGATGGATTTACGAGAGGAAGGCACTTTGAAATGAGCCATAACAGTCGTCTGAGGAGAAATGGAAAATAGTGTGTATGACAAACATTTGACTCTAGAGTCTGGCGTGGTTATACGTGTCTGCTATTTATGTCAAAAGGGCCCAAGCCTCAACTGCAGTCAGTTAGAGATAGGTACCCAAAAACTGCTTGAACAAATCGACACCCGAGTGTAACCTATGCATAAGGTCTGGGGCAAACACAATGCGCAGTAAATTTTTAGAAATCGTCCTTTTCCAAAAATAAGCTCCAGCGAAAGAGGACAATTCAAACAACTTATTTTTAACGAAAAAGGCGATGGATACAAGTAAGAATTTTACTCAGAAATTGATGAAAATCGCTAAATCACAAACAAGCACGTGGATCGAATTCAAAGTATTCAGGTCAGTGTGTGACGAGATCTTATGTTACATGGAATTGATCATTAAGAAGGAAGATAGTAGTGACCCAAAAATATTTTGGTATAAAAGGTTTCCAAAACAGTTTTTGATTTTCTGCTAGAAGCGAAAAACGTACAATTTCGTACAGGTACGAATTTCTCAAAAAGGTCACCCTTGAAATCACAGGACATCCAAGATTATGAACAGCGGTCTCCTTCATCGAACGCGAATTATGTTTTCAGAGGAAGTTCTAAGACCTCTAACAATAATTTTGTATTAGGTTCAGGCAAACGTCATGGCATCCATGTTTGTGGACGTAAACAATGGATATCTCATTTATGGTGGACGTAAACAATGGATATCTCATTTATGTAGTCATCACTCCGATTTCCACCACAAATCAGAGTCAATGTGCCAGTTTTTTTGATAAACGTTGTTACCCTGTTTCTGTCGTTCAAGCGGGTTACCACCGCGCCCAACTTATTGATCGACATTCAGCACTACAAACGCCACATAAGGAAGATTCCGACCGCATTCCATTCACTCTCACGTTTCACCCTCACATCCACTCAGTTAAATCCATCATTCTTAATAACTTTAAATTACTTCAAAACGATCCAGAGACAAGCACTATCTTTTCGCAGCCTCCGCTCATTTCATTCAAACGCGACAAAAACATAGGCAATTTTTTGGTCAGAAGTTCTTTTCAGACTAATGACCAACCAGGCACTTTTAAATGCGCTCGTGCACGATGCAAAACGTGTCCTTTCATTCACAACACTGATAAAATATCGGGACCTAAACGATCCATTAAGATCACCGATCACTTCACGTGCACCTCCGCCAATGTAATCTATTGCATAACTTGCACTTATTGCAAAAAGATATACATCGGCGAAACAGGCAGAAGACTAGGTGACCGATTCCGAGAACACCTTCGAGACGTGGAAAGGAATGACAAGGACACATCGAAACCAGTCGCTAGACATTTTAATTTACCTAATCATTCTAAGCAACATATGGCAATCTGCGGTCTTTCCTTNTGTTTTTCTCGTTGCCATGTTCCCACCAATAACGTAGCTCCATTTTCTGCCTTTAAAAGCACACACAACCCACAATTCCTCTATTCGCTCCGACGAAGGGCTAACGCTCGAAATGTCAGCTTTTTTAATCGTTACGGTGGCCAATCTACCATTTCAACTTTGTTGATATATCCAAATTATTTCGTTACTCCCACCGACGCAGCCCCAAACAGTTTCTTTCGAAACTATCAGCCTTTCTTGATTTAGATATCTCATTAGGTTCTTTTGTTCGTCCACCAGCATTTGTTCCTTTCTCCTTTGTTACCTGTATCTCTAGAGATCGGTTGCAAACCACCTATAAATGAAGTTATGAACCTAATGACTCTCTGGAGAGTCTCTTGTGGTTCAGTTGTAAGGCGTCGGAGCACCGAATCCGAATGTTTTTCATAAGTTCGATTCCTGTTGGAAACTCAGAATTTTCTCTTTGACCCACACTCAGTAAAAGGCGAAAACTATCTTTCTTTGGCATTAATCAGAGCTTTGAGGACCTGATTTTCTAGTCCTGAGCATAGCATGTCAGCGTGCGAACAAAAATAGAACCACAATAGACCACTCTCATAAATGGCTGCCGGATTAATATTCTTTTCTTTAAATTTAAATTAGCCCCTCTGGCCTCGTTCTTCAGTACAAAATTCAAAAGAAGACATTATCTCAAGCGCGGCCAGAAGGGCTATTTTAAATTTAAACAAAAGAATATTACGGTAATCCGCAGCCATTTATGAAAGTGGTCTATGGAGTTTACCGAACGTGGACCAAGGCGCTTGTTTCGGAGATGTTCGCCTATGAAATGACTAAGTAGAAGAAATAAAACAGCTATGTTAACTATAATTACACTGTAATTTAAACATATGATCCCAGAAATAAAATCTTGAAGATATACACTAAATAGTGACTTAGCGAATTCTCTGGAGAGTCTCTGATGGGTCTGTGGGAAGACGTCGGTGAGAGCGCAGAATTTGAAGGTCTTTTATACATTTTACTCCTCTCGGAGACTCAAATATTTTCTCTTTGACCGACGCTCGGTAAAAGACGAAAAAGTATCTTTCTTCAAAGTTTAGCAGATCAGGAACTAAAAGCTATTGAAACTTTTATCACACCATATATTAATGTGTATGATCCCAGTAATAACATTCTGCAAGAAGTAAAGATTACAGAACACGTCTCACCATTCTTCCTTGCTTTCTCCGCCTCAGGAGACAATTATGGTGGCTCCAGAAGAAGTTGTTGTTGCTGCTCTGTAGCTATGCTGTTCAGTTATGCTATTCTGTTATTGTGTATCACAGCGTGATACACAATCAAGAAAAGCTGATCAAATTCAAAGACAATACCCTTTGTTTATTGTCTCAAATATGACCATAAAAGGATATTTTGAAACAATAGCTTTAGAGCCAAACAATGACTTATTAATTCACGAGGGAAATTCAAACTCGCTCTCACTACAATAGCGAAATTCACGAAATGAATTCGAGCATAGCCGATTACTGCACAAGCGCGAAATTTGAACATTTGGCGAAAGCGCTTTTAAGTCAAATCTTACCCTGGGGAGGAGGAGGGAGTTACTTTTCGTTCAAGATCACTTGCTACTCAGGGAGGGTCGGTCAAGACACAGAATGTCGCAACTGAGAGAATGACAAAGATTGGTGAAACCAAATGAAATCTGAATCAGTGTGAATGGCCACGTATGAAACTTGTTTGAATTAAACTCATTCCGTGAAACTGACCGGCAGCCCGGTTCCATATCTCACAATGTTAAGCCGCAGCTACAAGAGCGATTTTTTGCTTGCGATGGTGATGCAATTTTTTCTAAAATTGTAGCGTCGCCAGCGCGCAGCGCAACGAGAATCATCCGTGTAGCCACACTCGCGCAAGTGCTGCGGTGGCGACAGCTACTACATCGCTGAAAAAAATCGCGAGAAGTTCAATGAGTTGAACTTTTCGTGACAAAATCAGACTTTGTCACCCGTGTAGCCATATTGACGAGGTTTTTCATCCTCTGGGAAAAAGAACAAACAAACAAAAAAAACCCGAGATGAAGTTTGAATTCTTCGAGAGATGAATAACTGAACGCCATCTGATTTTCCAGACGGCAAGGTTTGTTTTCACTCTCCTGATCTCAAACGAAATTTTCCACCGACAATCTTTATTACTCATTGCCCAGGATTCAGCGACATAACGGGGCTTTCATTGAGACACTGGCGCTAAATTTAAAAGCTAATTAGAAAATGATTGTCAAACATTAAAGGAAAAGGGC